CATAATCGTAGCATCGTTTAGGTGTAATTTACCTTAACCAAAATAAATCAATTAATTTTTTTCGATGTTTTTGAAAATTATAGTTTTCGAAATATGCGACGTTTCTTTTGCGGTTCAGTATATAATTAGAAGTATTTAAATATCTAGACATACAAGTTTTAACTAGTTTTTGGTGTACCTTCAGTTCTCCTTAAACACTTTTATAGTATTTTTTTCAAATTTAAAAGGGGTGTCAAACATAATCTTCAGGCTTTTTGGAGTTTGAAACATTTTGACACTTATGACGACATCTTAATTGTGGTATTCCAACTGAGTGAACTGCTTAAAATTTACTCTTCATTAGTTTCATTGATTGTGCAAGAATTTGTAGCTTACCCACTCGTGATATTGGATATAAAAAGAATTAAGTGAATTAAGGAGAATTTGATTTTTGTGTTCTTATGAGTTGTCTTATATAAGTGGTAGATGGAAAAAGTTAGAAATACAAACTTAATTGAGTTACTGGAGTTCTCCAAGTTCTAGAAAATTTCTGTTTATCTCGCACTGCTTTCTTTCATCAGTCGTAACTCTCTTCAATTTCTAACTGTCTGGCTAATTCTGTAAAAATCTATTTACTATTTGTATGCCAACTTCTCAAATATTTGGGATAGTAAAGATATCCATTTACTATAATACCTTCATGTTAAAAAAGCTGGAACTTTAGCAAATAAAAAAATATTAATTTAGCAAGTAAACATGTTAAATGAAATATATTAATTCTCAAATTTGAAAACATTGAGTATCAATAAGTGGTCTCTAATAATAGCTTTCATCATCTTGTTTACAATAGTAATCAGATAACCCTAATTTCATGAAACTTCTCTTGATCCTTTCTTTTTTTTTGTACAGAAGGATCACACTAACAATATCCCGGTCTATTAGGAATTTGACCGTGGTCTTGTAACTGTTGTAAAAACATTAAAACTCTTATCATTCTCTTGCTCATCTGTTTCTGAGTTTGGGGAAAATCTTTGTTAATACCCAAAAGCTTTACTTCCAAAAATATTCCCAAGCTTTTCTCAAACCATGTAGTGATCAAATTGGTGAGTTCTTGAAATTTTGAAAAATTGGTAGATCATTCATCAAGTAGGATTAGTGTGAGTCAAAAATTCATCTTCCAGCCAAGGCAAGTTTTCAAATATCCTTATTTTTTTATAGTGATGCTCATTATGTGCTCTTCCCACATCTAATGGCTATTTGAGTTATGAGAAGGTAATTCATTGTGCATGTGCTCGGCACACTAGTTGCATGTTTGGTGTTGTTTATTTGGCACTTGCTATAACGTATGAGGAGTACTATGTATTGTTGATGTACAGTTGTTAAATTGTGTGTTGTGGGGTTGTATTGTATTCTAGAATTGAGGACAAGCTGGCTAGAGGGGGAAGAGATATACTGTACCAAGATGAGTCTTGTATGCTTCCAAGTACTATAATTACTTGTAGGAATTAAGTAGAACAGTGACTTCATGGCAGTTGTATGAGCCAATGAATCAAGGTTTAAGCTGTATGGTCCAATTTTAAAATATCCTGATTTGTTTTAGCAGCTTCAATAGTACTTGTTTTCAAGAAAAGATCTCCCCACCTTCAAACAAATAATAAATTTTGTATGAGAAATTTTTAGAAGTGTCTATTACTAATTTTTTGTTGTTTATTTAAGCTTATAAAAACTTTGAAATCAAAATTGATGTCTTGAACTAAAATTTTTATAACACTTCATAACTTCAACAATATTTTTTCCAATTTGCTGGACTAAATAGCTTGGAATTATACAATTTATTAGTAATTTTCAATAATTGTAAGCTTGGCATTTTTGATTTATTAATAATTTCAATATTTATTCATTTAAGAGTGAACTTTTGATTTGGACTTTAGATTATGAAATATTCTTTTACTAATTTAAATACTAGCAGGATCCAATATTCATTTATGAAGCTTGTTGCTGGGCTTTGGCATCGAGCAACCACTACCACACCCTTTCCCAAATGTCTTTAGATAACAGTTCTAGATAATTTCTGCAATATCCTATCCTGTGTTTTATTTTCATTCACAACTCATAGTCTTTTATTTATTTGTTACATTATCTGACAACCTTCTTATAGCATAACATAATGTTCTGGGACAACATGGGACCTATTGGTCCATCTCAGCTGTTCCATCCCCAAAACTAAATCTATGTAATTAAAAACATATCTTCAAGCTAGCCCTTATAATTCATATACTTATAAAACTTTTTCTTAAACTCACTTACATTTACTGCCCATATAACATCCAAAGGCCAACCACCCTGTTAGAAAAATGGAACTGTCTTAGCTGAAGATGACTCCTACCTTGCCAAAATTTATACTTGTGTCCCCTAGTCCTACTGTTCTCACTGTCAAATATGAAAAAAGATGATGCATCAACACTATCAATTCCCTTTACAATCTTAAACACCTCAATCAGATCCCCATCTCCGTAACTCTTTTTTTTTCAAGAGAAAACAATTTGAGAGATTTCAGCCTCTCCTCGTATGACAACCCCTCCATCCAAGACACCATTCTAATAACCCTTTTCTGAACCCTTTCCAATAATTCAATGTCTTTCCTAAGGTAAGGAGCCCAAAACTGAACACGATATTCTAAATGTGGCCTAACCAGTGACCTACACAATAAAATTATAACGCCTTTAGACTTATTCAGTAGTTCTGTAGATGCAACCTCAAATCCTGTTTGCCCTACCACTAGCAACAGCACACTTCTTGGATGACTTCAGAGACTGATCAACTATTACATCACTTTTAAGGTTATTCCTATCCAAATTATACTTATAATTCATATTATGATAACCCACATGCATGATCTTGCATTTATTATAAATAAACCCATCTGCCATTTATTTGCTTAAGTCATTAAATGATCTAAATCCTTTTGTCAGTCAGCAGCATCCTCTTCACAAAAAGCAACACTCAATACCTTAATATCATCAGAAAATTTAAGTAATTTATTGACCATTCTTTCATTTAGGTCATTGATGTAAATCAAAAAAAGAGCAAAAGTCCTAAGACTGAACCCTGAAGTAACTCACTTGTGATATTAATCCAGTTTGACTGAACTCCATTTGTAACAACCTTCTGCTTTCTTCCATACAGCCACTCTTGTATCCAATTTGCTAACATATCCCCCCACAAGCCTTTTGTGTCAAATGTTTCTGAAAAATCCAGATACACCAATTCTACACCCTTATCCTCATCTACATAAGCAGTAACCTTTTGTCAAAAGATTTGTAAGACAAGATTTTCCCTTATTGAAACCATACTGACTATCCAATACAATTCTAAACTTTGTTAAATGACATTGCAAAGCATCTTTTAATAGACTTTTCAAAACTTTTCCACAACTGATGTAAGACTAATGGGTCTATAATTACTGGAACAATTTTTATCACCTCCCTTGAAAAGAGGAGTTACATTAACTAACTTTCAATCATCTGGTACCTGCGTCCTATTCAAGGACTGACAAAAAATAGTAGTAAGTAGCTCACATATACAATCTTTAACCTCCTTCAAAACCATTGGGGGAATATTATCTGGCCCAGGAGCCTTATCATTTTTTAAACTTCACAATTTTTTATTAACTGGCTCAGAATTAATGCATTTATCTTGTTTGATCATGTTTTCATTTATCAACTGCTCAAGATGTGGAATACTGTTTAAATCTTCATTAGTAAAAACAAAAAAAAATTTAATAACCCAGCCATCTCATAATCATCAGATATTAGCCTTCCTTTATCATCCCTTAAGGGTCCTACCCTCATCCTAACATTTTGTTTACCCTTAATGCATTTAATGCTTTTGCATATTTGCTTTGTAAAAAAAAAGATAAACTATTAAACAGTTAGTGTGAAGGAGAATTGTGCTAATTTCTGATTAAATAATTTGAAAAATCAAAAAGATACTTCCTTTACAATCACTTTGTGTTTTAAAAATTTTGCAGAAAAAAAAAGAAACATTTCTGAACAATTTGTACAAAAATACTTTGGAAATATCTGATGGATAAACAAGAACCACTGGCAAAAGCCTCGATAAGAAGGCAGAAATGTAAAAATCTGATGAGTAGAGGAAACAGCAACAATTATCATGCTCATACTATAGCAAACCTTTTTCTTGCCAAAGAATAAATATGTATACATGTTACTAAGTTACAACAAAGTTGAAATTAATGATATTTTATAACACTGCATAAAGTTTGAAATGAAACATTCATTGAATGTAACTTTGGAGATAAGCAGCATATGTTTGAAATAGGTAGTAGAATCAGTGTTATGTTTAATGTCACCTGTTTGAGGTTTTATCATGTTTTACCTTGATCAAATAGAAAGTAAAGGATTTGTAATCAGTATACTAGTAAAATAACTTAAAAATACAATACTCATTTTTTACTTTTCTCAACATCTTCAATACAAGGAAATGCAAGCTTTTGGGGCTCCACTCCCATGATGACATTGCCAGCACCCATTCTGAAATCCTAGATTAAGCCCTGAGTAGTAACATTTTTCAAGCATTACTTACATTTTTCCCATTTAAATGAGCGACACAATCTTTATCATATTTGCATTTTCAGAAACAAACTGAACACAGTTCATATTCTGCAATTGGTTACAATTATATGTGTAGTGTTATTTACATTACTACTTGTACGCTCTTGCACAATATTTCTTTATGTATGTTCCACAATGTAAAACTAGACCTTGCTACTTTAAGGCACTAACAAATGGTTGCTAGTTATGTCTTTCCTATTAGCAAATTCAGATTGTGTCCAGCAGTAATATTCTCCCTGAAATTAGCTGATACTATCAAAGTTACTTGATGTATTAAACATTGATAAATATGTACATATCCTTCTTATATGTATAAATCATCTGTTTTATGTTTTCTAATGTCATTGAATATCTAAACTAATAGGCCTGACATGGGCAGGTGGTTAGGGTACTTGACTCACAATCTTAGGGTTGCTGGTTTGAATCCCAGTCCACCAAAAATGCTCACCCTTTCAGCTGTGGAGATGTTATAATGTGATGGTCAATCCCACTATTCGTTGGTTAAAGAGTAGCCAAAGAGTTGGCGGTGGGTGTTGATGACTAGCTGCCTTCCCTCTAGTCTTTCACTGATAAATTAGGGACGGCTAGCGCAGATAGCCCTCGTGTAGCTTTACGCAAAATTAAATCCAAACAATCAATCAATCAAAACTAATTTTAATTACCTGTAACAATGTGTTTTTTGAACTATTTCATAAAAGGTAAATGATGCTTGATTTAGGTGGAAACTGGTGTATGTATGCCATGAACACACACATTATCACGTGTTGACAAAGTCTGCAGATGACCACCCTATACTAAAAAATATTTTGTTGTTAAATATGAGAAGCTGGTGAAATGTTGAAAGTTAATAAGCCTATCATTTGTGTTAATCATTGCCAAAGTAAGAGGAATGTAGAGAAAAAAATCTATTCACATGGTTTCTATTTCAAGAAAGCAAATTTTGAAGGGATGCGACACGAATTATCTGTTGTGAATTGGGCAGCTGAGTTATTTGGAGACACTGATCAGATGTTTAAAATTTTTAAAGATAAGTTTTAAATATTCAAGGTAAATATATTCCTTATAGAAAGAAATGGGTAGCTGCAAGTTAAAAACCAAGTCGGCTTACAAAGAGTTTAAGAAATAAGATTAAAGAAAAGCATCAGAAATTTAAATTGACTGGTATGATGGGAGATTTAGCAGATTATAGAAGATCAAGAAAGTTGGTGAAACAGGAAATTAGGATATCAAAAAGGATATATGAGAAAAGGTTGGCAAAAAATGTAAAAATTAACAGTAAGGATTTTTTTAAATACATTAAAGGTAAACAAAATATTAGGATGGGTAGGACCTTTGAGAAGTGATAAAGGAAAGCTAGTATCTGATGATTATGAGGTGGCTGGGTTAATTTTTTTTTTCAGTTTTTACTAACAAAGATTTAAAAAGTATTCCACATCGTGATCCAGTTGATAGGTAGAAACAAGGTGACTGCATTAATTTGAGCTTGTTAAGAAAAAATTGGAAAGTTTAAAGAACGATATAGCTCCTGGGTTAGATAATATTTCCCCAAGAGTTTTGAAGGAGGATAAGGATTGGATATGTCAGCCACTTGCTACTTTTTTTTTGTAAGTCCTTGAATAGTGGGCAGGTACCAGAGGACTGGAAGTTAGCTAATGTGACTCCCCTTTTCAAGGGAGGTGATAAAAATTGTCCCAGTAATTATAGACCCATTATTCTTGCATCAGTTGTGGGAAACGTTTTGGAAAGTTTAATAAAAGATGCTTTGCAAAGCCATTTAACAAAGTTTATAATTTTATTGGATGGTCAATATGGTTTTAATAAGGGAAAATCTTGCCTTACAAATCTTTTGACAAAAGGTTACTGCTTATGTAGATGAAGATAAGGGTGTAGAATTGGTGTATCTGGATTTTTCAGAAACATTTGACACAAAAGGCTTGTAAAAAAAAAACATTATCTATACAGGTGTGGGGGGATAAGTTAGCAAATTGGATAGAAGAGTGGCTGTATGGAAGAAAGCAGAAGGTTGTTACAAATGGAGTTCAGTCTTAGGACCTTTGCTCTCTTTTTGATTTACATCAATGACCTAGATGAAAGAATGATCAATAAATTACTAAAGGGCTGACTTTAAGATTTTTTTACTTTTTTAAATAAAAGTTTTAGTTTAGTTTAGAAGAAGGGACTGCTAAGATGGAACAATAGGTCCCATATTGTCCCAAAACATTGTTATTACTACTTCCAATGACTAACCACTTGAGCACGGTATTTCTAAATACGTTGCTTGTAAAACTGCACCACTACTGGTCCACATGCTGATTGTCTTAGCAACCAATCATACAAATTGAATTTGCAGTCTGGCTATCCCCATTTCCTGATACTTAACCTAGGTATGCCATGAAGCCCAAATATGGATAAAAAACTGCCTGTCACTGGCAAGTGTTGCAGTATAAATGACTGAAATGCACATATCATGGGTATATTGATGATCAACAATAAGAATCTGTGAACCTTCCTTCTGAAATGTGTACTGGTCAATTTTTCTTCTAGTAACTTCCAAGTTTTGCTAGCAAAACTGCAACACTAACCAGAAATTTGGGAGTTTGCTAGGAGTAACTTTGTGCCCTGAATGTAAAAATATATTCTTAAATGTCTTTTCCTCGAATAGAATTTCTGGTATGCCGATTAAAATGATAATTCCCACTATCTCCAACTTTTTTAGTCTCACAAGATAGAAACTTAGCAGGATAAGTATTATGTTTATGTATTTTTATATATCAATCTCAGTAAATTGATTCCAAGATTCTTAACATATGGACAGCAAGGGTCTGTTTGTCCTATCAAAGTTGTCCTTGCATATCTGCCATTGAGGAATGTAAGAATCTAAACCCACTATTTATTTTTCTGGAAACCATGAAATTCACATTTACTTAAACTCCTGTAAAGTGCTGGCCTCCACAACCTAACAGCAACTCCTTCTGTAAGTCAGTCACCCTGTTAGAAAAATAACTCTTAATTGGAACTTAGCTTGTCTTCTCATTCAGTTATTTTCAGAATATAACAAGTAACTCAGAGACCTTTATCTTATTGATTCCAAGGTAATCTTGCAAACTTCATTAAGTCACCTTTTACCCTTCTTTTCTCAAGGGAAAATATATTAAAATATTTTATCTTATTTGTTGAAAGTTAACACATTCCTAACATCATCCTATTAGCCCCCCTTTTTCATTTTTCTGTCAGACACCTCTATCCAAACACATTGTGGTATCTTTCTTTTTACAAAAAAAAAGCATTCAGCTGCTATCTCAAAACAAAATACCTTCCTATTTTTATGGAAATTTTAAATCTTTCTGAAACAACAACTTCATAATTTTTATTTAACTGGCAATGCTTAATACTGAAAGATACCAAATTGTCTAATCTTACCAATTTGTTACAAAGACTTCTACTTTTAGCATGAAAGAAGATCTGCTGTTTTTTTATATTTATGTATTTTGAAGGTGAAAACAAATTCTCCATGAGTCAACCACATTGTAGCTTAATGCCCTAATTACTACATCTAGCTAAAGCTTAAATAGTCTTTATGAGATTAAAGTGCTTCTGCCAACATCGTATCTCAATCTAATTACATAACACTTGTCATATGGCAAATATATTGCCCTTTAAACCTATCTAACATTGCTCAAAGTTTTCTACCTATATTTGTCATGAAGTTACCCTTGGACAACCAAAATATTTATGAACAAGGTAATGTGAAAAGATTAAACTTAAAATTGTTGATATTAATGTCTTGTTTCTTTTCATTTGTCTTCCCAGGTATCATACACTTTTAAATATTTACATGTTTGTTATCTTTAGATGAACAGTATGCGAAGTGATGTGGAGACTGAAATTGGTTTGCTGTTACTGGAAAACATTTGGCACACAGTTTCATTTTTTTCTGTGTTCAGAGAATAGTTTTGTTGACCAGTGACGAAAACCTTTGAGAAAATTTTTGCTAGAACTGGTCTGTTCAACAAAAGACCTGTTTTTATTGGTGCATATGTAATTAAAGAGTGCAAAGTTGAAAGTAAAATTGTACCCTGAGGGGGAGTGAAGAACTGTGGATTGAACTGCCATGCCTGCAGGGGTAAATGCAAACCAAAAATCCTATGACTACTTACTGAAGTTTTTATTGGTTGGAGACAGTGATGTTGGGAAGCAAGAGATCTTGAGTGGTCTGGAAGATGGATCTCTAGACTCTCCATTTGCTGGCGCATCAGGTAAAAGGATATTAACAAAAACTATTTTAATTTCTTCCATTTTGTATTTGTTCAATGTCATAAGAAAAATGTTTTGCATGACATGTTATATAATTCTGTGTGAAGCTTCAAAAGTTTTGATGTAATGCATACATTAAGGAGGGATCAGACAAAAACTGTACAAGAAAAAAGTAATTTTTGCATTGAAATATATCCAAAAGGCATTGAAATAGAATTAAATGTATGTCTAGAAATACTTCATTTGATTGTAATTGGCATTGAATTGTTGTTAATTCTTTTTTAGAAATGCAACTGCACTGTTGCTAAGTCCTATATTCTTAGAAAGCTTACTGTTGCTGTTGAACCTGATAAAACCTAGTATATCAAGCCCAAAAAGACTTATGTTCTATTAATTTCAACAATCACAATTTAAACTAATGGGTGTTAAAATGCTAGCAGGAACTTTTACAAAATTTCACACACTAAAAATGAAGAATACTTCAATTAAATTTTCAAACACAAAGTTTAAATAAGGAACTACTCTTTACTGAAGAATCCTATGACTTCTGCGATACAAGGCCACTATATAAAATGTTTACTGTAAAGTTTGGACTAATACAGATTAAAGTTGAAACCCTGTCACCTTTATGTCCATGTCTGCTTTATACTTGTTTCAATATAAAATCAATGTTCTGAGGAAAGTTCTGGTTATCAAGATTGAGCATTTTATATAATCTTGTGTTTCAAGGTAAACCTTTCCAGTTTTTAATGTGAATATTTTTTATATATAAATATCGTGCATGAACTGGGATAGTTTTTACCATAACTGGTATTTTAAACTGCCTGTTATCAGTATCTAAGATTTTCCACCTTTCAAAACCTGATGGTGTTAGTGCTGTAACATTCTGATATTGAAGTGTTTGTCAACTCAGGTATGAAATATGCTTTTTATCAGTTTTGCAAGTTGCTTTTGAATTGCACTTAAGTATCACTGTGAAAAATTGCCTATTCTCCTTTTCTTTTGAAAACATATTCAGTTATTATAGTCCCACGGTGGTGCATCGGTAAGACTTTTGGAATTACAATGCTAAAATCAGAGGTTCGATTCCCCTCGATGGACACAGCAGATAGCCCAATGTGGCTTTACTATAAGAAAATACAGTTAATGACATGATGTGTTCCTTTAACCATTTCTGATTCATTGAACACCTTTCTGGTGTCAAGTGCATACTTGCTTATCATATTTCAAAATATAAGTAAAACTAATAAGTCTATTTCAACAATATTTCTACTCAAAAATATTTTATAATTAATATTTTGTAATTCAGAAAAAAAACTTGCATTACTTCACAGCACTAAATAGCCTCACTTGTAAATAATGCTGTTATAAACTTTTTCTCTCCATTCCAAAGCATAGTTTTATATTTGCTAAGAAACTATCACCTCTTGAGAACTTAAAAGTTGTAATTTATTGAATATAAAGTACATGCATTAGATATCAATTGATTTTGAGAAAGAGTATTGTTAATAAAAAATGTCATCTATCTTTTGCATTTTTAAAGGTTAAGCCCTGCATCAGTAATAAATCATTGTCAGTTTCTATATTTTTTATAGTTTATAACTAGAATTGGTGATTGCTGAAATTGACAAAAAAGTATCAAATAAATATTAATGAATATCAATCACATTCATACTAGTTGGATGTATAAACTGGAATTTACTGATCAATATAAAATAATTAAATTCTAAAAGATATTTTAGTTTAATGTTTTTTACAAAGCAGTGTCACACATCAAAAGTTTCAAAATTTCACAAGATAAAAAAATTATAATCTAAATCAAATTATGTGGATTTCTTAATGTAATTTGGTTAAGTTTTTCCACTGAGAAAATTAAGGAATATCAATGACACCCCTCCTTGTGAGGAAACCATTAATAGCTAAGTTTGGCAAGTCCCATTATTGGCTTCATTTAATGGATTCGTATTATTTATGCCCATTGCCTCATTACTGTCTTTAATTTCAAAAGAAAAAAATTAATAATGAAATATATGTGCAATGTGGTCAGTCACATTTTGTATTTAATTAGAATTTAGTTATTTTCAAATTAGTATTTAAAGCATAGAAACTACTTATCAAAATATTTAAGTTATACTTTGTAAAGCAAATAAAAGTTAAAAATGCTTCAGAATAATGCAACGTAGGTTGTTACTACACTGTTTTTTTTTTGCACTCAATTAAATATAAAAGTTTAATTTTTTATGCAGGTCAGGTCAGTGATCAGATGTTTTTTTTTATAAGATGGTAGCATTTATCGCACTGTCATTTCTAGTTCATATTGATTGAAAGTATATGTTTGAGGTTTTACTGATCAACAATGAAAATGTTGGTATTATCTAGTGTATTGAATAATAACATAACCTATGGATAACAAGGGACCATTAGGTTCTTCAAGGCTGTTCTTGCTCATCTACCCTTCAGAAAAGTGACAATTTAAAACCTACCCTCTACATTTTAGGAAATCATCAACTCCTCTCTTAAACTCCCGTTTATAGTACTGGTCTCCACTACTGCTGAAAGCAACTTTTTCCACAAGTCACTCTGTTAGAAGAATAAAACTGTCCTAACTGGAACCTAACCTATCTTTTCCAAAATTTAAATGTGTTCTCTTGTCCTATTATCTTCTGAATATAGCACAAAAAATCAAAGATCCCTTTACTACATCAGCTCTACACATTCATTATTCAGATTTGTGCAATGGTTCATTGCAAAGACAATTTTCTTCAATATTTCAAGAAATACTAAAATAAGTTCATCAAACACATTCCTAAGACAAATATGAACTTACCTGAGTTGGCTACATTTTCACAACTAAACGAAAGATCTGAAACACTTGAACCTCTATTAAATATTACACTGTCTGATATGCAACTTTTGCATAAAAGGCATCTTGGAATAATATTTGGAAACAACTTGTACCAGTGCTTCACTACCCGACATGTGTAGTGAACATCACAAGATCTACATGACATGATGTATGGAAATGAAGAACGAAGTTGGTCGTAAATTGGGCAAAACCATTTATGTTTTGTGACAAATGATATGATGATGTTTGAAGAAGATATTATAGAAGTAAAATGGGAATTAGACAACCTATAATGTAATGGAACCAATTGGAAGTATTGCTGTCTTTGTGTTATAACAGCATACTTTTGTAATTTTGCACACTAATATTGTATAAGGTGTTGTGTGTTTTGTGCTGCTTATTAATAATACAACAATGTCCCTCTTTCCACAACCTTAAAATTATCAAAGAATGCTGTATTATAACATAAAGAGAATGAAATGCTTCTTGTTGATTCTCTATTACCTTAGGTTATGCCTAACTCCCATTTTACTTTTATAATAACTTCTTCAAGTTTCATCATCACGTGTTATAAAACAGAAACGGTTTTCTGTGTTCCCAGTTTATGACCAACTTTGTACTTCATTTCCATAAGTCATTTTGTGACATTGTTTGCACATGTACAGTAGTGCAGTATTAGTACAGATTGTTTTCAAATGTTATTTCAAGATATGCAAGTCTCATATTAGATAATGTAATATTTTATACTGGGTTTCAAGTGTTTCAGACCTCTTGTTTGGTCATGAAAATACAGCCAACTCAGATATGTAGTTTTATATTTGTGTTAGGTATGTGTTTTTTTAATTCATTTTAATGTTTCTTGAAATATTGAAGGAAATTGTATTTGCAATGGGCTATTGCACATCTATGTAGGGCTGATATACTTATGAGCTCTATTAGTAAGTTATTGATCTGGCAGATAATTTTGTAAACTTTGTTAAGATCACCTATTACCCTTCTTTTCTGAAGGAATGAATTAAGTGATCTCATTCCATACCTGTAAACTTATCTTTCCATCCCTGGAATCATTTTAATAGCATTCCTTTAAACTCTTTTCAGTACTCAATAATCTTTCTTAGATAAACAGACAAAACTGTAAACAGTATTCCAAGTGAGACCTAACTAGTGATTTCTAAAAAGAGAGAGAGAATTACCTCTTCTGACTTCTTATTAACATGTCTGTAAATATGTGCTAAAATTCTATTAGTTTTACTGTAATAAACAACTCACTCACTGCTTCTATGACTTGAGTTACTTATCCACCCTGGTGCCAAGATCCTTGTCTTCAGTCACACTGTTCAGTTAGTTCTCACATTAAATGTATAATTATTGTTACTCCACATTATATATGTGAAACTTGTGCTTGAATCCAAGTTGATGTTAAGAAGAGAACTGATTTAGGTCTAGTGTATTAGAATACCATATTTGCCCAGATATAATGTACTCTTTTTCTCTTTTTTTTTCCTTCAAATACCTCCCAGAAAATTGATTGTGCATTATATTCGCATGTGTTCAATTTTGTTAGGTGTTTTACTAAAGCTACCACCAAAAATTATTAAAGCATCATTAAAGTTTTCAAAAAATGTTGCATATCCAATGCAATGGATGGAACGGATGATGACATGTAGTGGGAGTTAGAAGAGGATGAAACAAAGGTTCAGGGAAGCAAATCCAATGGTAGCAACAATTCTAGTGATGATGAAGATTTATGTGAAGATAAATTATTAGCTTAGTGTATTATCACATAAAAAAAATTTCAGTGAAAGATTTCCAAAAATGTTTAATACATTGATAGTTGTTTGCTATATTTAGAAACTATTCATTACATTTTGTACAACTGATATGTAAGAAAAAACTTTTTTTTTTTCAATTTAACATTTCATAATTGGATGCACAAATTTGTGCAAATACGGTATTACTGAGTTAGGTCTCATAATTGGATTATTTGTAATGGACATACTGGGTGCTTTCTTTACAAATGTTTAGGTTCGTGAGGGAAAATATTTTTCTTGTGATATTTAATGATAGCTTTTTGTGATTGCTATTCATTATAATTACTTATTACTTTAATATTTTGTAAATTTCTGTTATGCTTAGATTTTGATAAATATATGTGCATAAAATTCATTTTGGTATTTTTATTCTTTTATTGCCATAATTAAATTTTTTATTAACAGTAACCATAGTTGTTTTTTCTTTATTCTAGTATTAGTTTAATGAGAAAAGTTCATTGGTACTAAAGCTGTAAAAAATGCTTGTAAATTTTGTTGTTTTTATACTGCTTTGATATATGTATCATGTGATATAAAATATGCAACATTTTGCCATTGTTCATAACAAGAAGCAAATTTTGTATATTACTGTATTAGTCTTTATTCATTGTATGTAACATTTTGTTATATTCTAAAGATTTTACTTATTAAGGCTTTGTAAGCTAATAGAAATTTAGTACATTTGTAATGTAAACAGTATAACACTAAACATGCAAATTTACTAGCTTTACATTCGTATGTTTATTTCTTACATGTTTAAAGTTAAATGTTAGCAAAATATTGTACTCCAGCATAACTATTCTTATCTAAAAAGACAAATTTCTCTTTTGAGGTGTAAACTACATGTTAGAGGTAGAATCCTAAGTGTGGCTTAAAGTAACATCAGCTAATGATATTGAAAACTTGGGTATCTTTTAAGTTATTTAATTTTCAAACATTTACATCATACTTTTTTTGTCACTGTCGTCTTTGCAGTCAAAACCTTCTGCAGGTGAACAATACATAAAGTTTGTAATTCATTGGAAATATTTAATATTTTCACTAAATAACAATGTAAGTACAAGATAGAACATGTATAATAATTAAAAACATTATAAAAGAAACTAGAATTTTGTACAATTTTGTTTGAGTATATTTAGAAGAAACACCAAATTTATAACTTGTAAATCATTAAAATATTGCCTTTGTCACACGATGTTTGTGAAATATATGAAAATAAAATAGCATAATAAATATCCCAAATCATACTGAGAAACAGCTAAAATGATAAACTAATGTTTAAGACAATTTTGTAATATTTATAGTGTAGCTCCCTTTTTTTTCCTCCAAGTTTCATTTCACATTAAGATTAGCAGATTACTTCTGCTTGTCAGAATTTCTTTTAATGTGTAATTCAATTATTCATAAGTTTGAAAATTTTGATTTATATCCTGGTTAATTATGGCAACAGCTTCCATTTTTTTGTTGTTATTGTTGAACTTCAAATATATGTTCCTGTTGGGGATTTTGCTATTTAGCTTGTTGGTTTTGTGATTAATGGCTCTTGTATAAAATGTTACAGAAGTTATTTCAACGTTACAGTTTTTAATGTTAATTCATTAAGTACTGTTACACATGAATGAACACTAAACACAAAAACATTACAACCAGTGCATAGTATAATGAAGTCTCCAACTCTAAGCCATTGTAACAAAATCTATCAGGGCAGTCATTGTAGTGAAATATTTTATAAAGAAAGTTGTATTGGTTTGTGGAAAAAAGACACTCATTAACAGGAACATTTTTTCCAGATGTAGCTTATAAAACAACAACAATTCTTTTAGATGGAAAACGCATCAAACTACAGTTATGGTAAGTTTATTCAAATTATTGTAAATTTGTTTTGCCTACTGTAACAAATATTTTTTTGTTTTAACAAACTACAACTATGAAAATGTAATTAGAACAAACTGTGGCAATAAAATACTTCATTTATGACAGGAAAATATTCTTCATGGATTTTGAATAAAGAAGCCTTCCTGAAAATTTGTTGTAGTTGGGTAATGTTTCAGCTTTTTTCTGATGAAATGCACATTTCTGAATAGTTTATTGCTGTAATTCTTCAGTGTCACTTAGCAGTATGATAGTTGTCTAGTATTAACTTATTACAGTGCCTAAGCAGTTACTCAAGATTATTTACATTTTAGTTTCAACTACATGTACATCAGTAAAAAAAATAACATTCCTGTGTATTTATTGTATGTTATTAGTTAATTATGTATAGTATAGTATCTAATATCTTTCATTTAATTTGTATATAGCATTTTGTGGTTTACATGTACAGTGTTATATTGCAAACAAATCTTTGATCCTTACGATACTACATGTACACTGCAAAAACCAATTAAAGGGTAATTGGGATATTTTTTGTTTAAGGTATGACAAGACATGTCCATCCTCTCAGTTCATTTTTATACAAATCATACATTTGATGATGTATCGTGTTCTGAAATGCAAATAATTGGTCATTCGGCTAACACTTATAAATGAAAATTTGGTGGACATTGCTTTATATCTTCATCTCAGTGTGGAGTATGGTCACCACATATAGCAAATATTTCCTGGAACCAATGTTGTATGCTTAAAATCAATGTTGATAAGGTCCTAAGGTACCCTTGACTACTCTTTCACTACAGACTTGGTTCCAGGGACCAATCTTGTAACTTTAATATAGCTTAATATAGTAAGTGTATCTTCACAAAATTTATTAAGTTTTAAGATTTTTTTAAGTAATGGCCATAGAAAGACCTGTGTTAGTAGGGTTAAAGAGTTTTTTTCAGGGTATCTTTAGCAGCTGGAGTCATTTAATTAGATTTGAAATATCTCCCAATAGTATTCCATACATTCTCATTGGATTAAAGACCAGAGATTGAACCTTTCATTTGGTCAAGCCACTTCCTCTGTTCTTCAAATAGTGTGTGTACCAGTTTAACACAAAGTGTGAAGATGTTATCTTTTATTAGGTTGAAATCTGGACTGATAACACCAGTATATAGCAACTTAAAAGGTTATAAGATGTGGTCCCTGTAATATGTGCCATTAAGGGTACAATTTGCATGTACCTTTAAGGAATTGGGGATTGGTTCTGGCTTCAGACTCTTTCTAGATGGATATATACTCATTATTTTTTCCTTCAGAGTGAAATGCAAATCACCTGCAGATAAAAATAGTATTGCTCCCCATTTCATTGGCCTAGCAGGTGTACTCTTGACACCACTGCAGGCAAGCTGTGAGTGAAATACACCTTATTGGGCATTTGTCACGTAGGCTAGCCTTTTGACATTTTTTCTATCCACCTGTATGTTGACGCATCCATTGTGACTGCAAATATCAGATTCAATGTCAGAGCAGGTACTCTACAATTGCAATGGGCCAGAAACAGCAGATAGTAATGTTCTTTACAGTTGGTTTGAAAGTGGTTCCTTATTCTTCTAATGATATTTATAGACATTTGTAGTCCGTTCAAAGTATCTGGCTAACTTTCATTCTTCTGATGGCCCATTTCATTAAGTGAAACATCCATGTCTTCTCTGAGGTCTAGCAACATTATGGATCTTGGACAATTTATAGCATTTTAGACTTTGTGATTCACTAAAAAATGATAACTGAGACAACTGTCTGTGACATATTTTTTAGAGAAAGGGAGAATATGACAAATGACTAATCATTTGCATTTCATATCATGCAACTGATCATCATATGGCTGATTTCACTGACAGTGAAATGAGGGTGGTGATTGACAATATCTTATAACAGTGGTTCTTCTTGACATATCTATGATATTACATATTCTAGTTATCTTTAATTATTTTGTGTAATATAGTTTACAGGAATAAGTACAAAAGACAGTGTTCAATTATGTTTCCAGTGTCACATATTATAAACATAGTTGTCTTGCAGCTTCTTTGGGAGATAATATAATTTTAATATCTATTGAAATATTACATACAATAATGTATTGATGATTTATTTTTAAATACAACATCTAACACTTCCATTAATGCATGGTAAATTATCATAGTGACTGACTACCTTTGTATTTCACAAAACATTTTTTATTTTTCAAGGGATACATCAGGTCAAGGAAGGTTTTCTACTATTATTCGATCATATTCTCGAGGTGCACAAGTAAGTCGACTATGTTCACCCATCATTATATACATCCATACATATAGTAGCTTTATTTCTGAAAACTGTTTCCAGCAAAATCATTCAGGTGATTCGATTAGAAAAATTTATTAAGTACAAAATCTGGTGACCTTCTGACTTTTTTTTTACACCTCTAAATGAATGCAGTTTTTGATAAAAGACTTTGGAATGTATAATGTGTACTAGCCCTATTGTACTTATCGAATAGAAGTTGGATTTAGTAGCACTCTCTTCATCAAGACTTTGCATTTGTTGAGCATATGAAAATTTTATAAATTTGTATTTTTCTTGTTCTTAATCAAAAAAATTTAGCTTTATTTAACTTGTACAGCATATATGAATTTTATATATAATATTCATTGGATTTTCTTGTGTTTATTTGTTCAGGGGATTATTTTAGTATATGACATCACAAACAAGTGGTCATTCGATGGAATTGACCGCTGGTTGCTGGAAGTGGAAGAGGTGAGCATATGTTGTTTATCATTGATATTTTCAGCCTATGGAGTTCGGATTAAATTTTCAATTAACCAAATATGAATGCTACTTGGATATTTTTCTTGTGCACTCCCATATATTAATGCTACTTGAAAGCTTGGTCTTAATTACTTGGTCTTGTAGCATAATCAAAAAATGAAGAAGTAGATTGGGTGATGAAGTTATAGAAATAGAGAAAGAAATCATAGAACCAAGATTGTTTTTGATAGAGAAAATAAGGAAAATACTTGTTATTAAATCTTTGAGCACGGGCTCGTCTTTGGGACTGACCTTGTAACCATTTTGTGCTTGTTATAGTTTTCATGCTATAACTTTTAAATTAGTACGAGAATGTTAATGAAACTTTGTACATTATCAGTAAACATTACAATGCTTTTTCAAACAAAATATCACATTTGTTTAGTAAGTCTTAAGGTTTGTAAAGCAATATTTTTCTCATGCCTTTTTTTTTATTTTCGCATGTTGCATATGTAACATCCAAAGTAATTTTCATTTTAAGATTAAGAATACTTTTTTGCATCAGAAAATTTTCTAATTTCACATGCGAAATCTTTGTAATGTCCAAATAGTTATCAAACATTTTTTAAGAAAAAACTTTAAATTTTGTCTATTATTTTCAGTAATAAATCTCTGTATGGGTTCAGTAGATTTGGCCGATCTCGTAACCACCATAAAAAAATTAGGAAATAAATATAAATTATGCCTCTTTCTGCCTAAATTATGCCTAGAATGAACACAAATTATAACACGAAAACATAAATGTTTAGACTAAATAGCTTAAATCTCATAACATTATACATTTGTATATATTTATTATTTTTATTATATTGACCTTTCAGCCGTGCCTGGCTAACAATACAGAAGTTACAATGACGCGGCACACGTGCACTCATGTTACTGTATCCAATAACATAAAACTGACCTTTGGTACAAAGTAACTTGTCTTGGCTGTGTTTTAGTAGGCTAGTATTTTGTAAAATACAGTCACATTTCAATTATTATATATGTATATAGATTATTGCTATTTTGAAATAAGTTCTTAAACTTAGTTTTCTTAAAATATAAAACAGTAAATAAATAAGTAAAGCAAACAATTATCTCTTCTAGTTATGACCTTTGTACTCTGTTTCTGCTTGACATAGGTTGCTAAGCCTTTGAAAATTTTGCACGTGAAGGGATATGAAACAAAATAATTTTTTTAGGTTTTAGTATATATATATATTTGAATAAAAAAAAATTATAAATTACTACATCAATACCATAAAATTCCAACTATAATTTATCAAGCTTAGTAACTAAGATGTATTTAAGTCTAAAAAAAATATGAAATTTCAAGCAGACTAAAGACACACCCTACCTCCTTGAAATATTGGTTCAAAAGAAAGAAATGGCATCCAAGTCTGTTAAAATGGCTGAGAAAGCCACTAGGGGGACATTCTGAGCTTCCGATTGGTTATTCATGTCATATATAGAAGTAAGTGTATATAAGGGAGTGTTTCCAAAAATTGAAAGAGGTGGGCGGGGTACCACTGTGCTTGATTTATTACATGGGCAATATCTTAGCAAGTAGAAAAGATAAGAGGTTCTTATTTTATATTCTAGCTTGTCAATATCAGTAATTTGGGTTTCTAATTTGTACAAAACTATAGACTTTAAGTGTGTGAAAATGTGCCAAATTTGCTTAATTAGGTTTTAGTTAAATCTGATTTTATCTTAATTCCTATGTGCAAGATCTCTCATCAGTTTTGTGCATTCTGAGAGTACTGTTGAAGTAAAAAATAATAATAATTCAGTTGGTACAGCCAAAGTTTTGAAAAGTTATGTTACAGTGCAGTAACTTTTCTACTTTGATAATTTTGACATTAGTAAATAATTTTATTTATTATAGCATGCTCCAGGTGTACCAAAGATCCTCATTGGTAACCGACTCCATCTAGCATTCAAGCGCCAAGTGAATGAACTCACAGCAGAAACTTATGCTTTCAAGAACAACATGGTTTTCTTTGAAGTCAGCCCCTTGTGTAATTACAACATCAGAGAATCATTTGTAGAGTTGTCAAGGATGGCTCTCCAGAGAAATGGAATGGAAAGATTGTGGAGAAGTAATAAAGGTGAATTATTATTTATATTTACATTGAGGATGTATTTACTCCTACTGCCTGATATTTGTACCACAGCAGCGTTTCAACTCTCTCTCCTGCTTCTCTTTGTCTGTGGGGGAACATAAAAACTGTCTTTACAACAAGCAAAATGGACGAACAACCAGTTACTGTTATCTTCATTTGCCCCTATTTGGTGTTCTATATTTATATACACCTACCTTTGTATTCGTCAGTTGTGAACAAAAATATTTAAACTTGCTATCTTCTATTTAAATCTAACATTCACATTTCTCTTAAGGTAAAATTTCCTGCTTGTGATGTAACTAATATAGTTGATGTAGCTTAAATCTGCAATTTTCAGTTGGTCATAGTTTGGTCTTTGTTTCACATTACAAGCTAAAGAAAAAAGCAAAAGTTAGCCAGACAATTTGACAGTCTCACTAAAACACAACATACTTGTAACAGAATTTTATGTTTTTATTATATTTCACCCTTTTAATCCTGTGTTAATTGCACCATATCCATAATTACATTATTTGTTTCGACTAGGCCTGAGTGTGATAGCATATTATGTGAGGGTCTCGGGTTTCAGATGCAATGCTATCAAACGCATTAGATTTGTACTTTTAAGAATGACAGCATTTAGACAGAAACTCAACATATGTAACTAACAGCCTTATTAAGTTTCTTGTTTATCTAATGATAGTTTTCAGGATAATGCTTTGTAAACTCATTCTTAACTTTAAATGCAATGACACTAAACTAGTCAAGAAAGTTGTATAACTAGTAGACCTGTTCATGTACTTAGTAGCAATTTAATTTACTAGCACTTATGTTTCTAATAATACTTGCACTGAACATATTTTTTCATGAATCAGTAATAACTATTCACAATATGGAAGTAGCATGTTACAATTTTACAATCGTAAAAGGAAAATGCAACAGACACTAGTAAATGTATCATCATATCTTTAGTCCTTTACACACACTGTATTAGAAAATTTGCTTATTTTATATTGCTGTATGTCAAGTCTTTATATATTAGGATATCTTCATTTTTTACCTGGAGAAATGTTTAAAAAGTGCTTCTTGAGTATCTATATAGGTTATAGTGTTCGTTTTCTCTACAATTGTAATAATAATAAAGTTACTTCTTATTGATCTACATGTATTTGTTGTACACATAATATGTACTTTGATATACTTGTAAGTACCTTGTCATGCTCTTATCTTATCCGAGTGATAAATGCAAAGCTGACCTTCATAAATCAGCAAGTAGTTTAAACAGTTACACTGCTTCAGTCTCCATACAACTGAGTCACAATATTACTAATTTTTGATAGTACTGTGCATGGTTTGATTACATGACTAAACCATATTTTATAGTGGCTTGAATAGTGAAGCACACAAAGTGATAGACTGCATATAACTATTAGTTGTTGTAAATGGCTCCCCCTCCTTTTTCTTTGGAGCTGGAGAGCAAAGTCTGCTGATTTTAGATTTTCCCCTTAGTTCCAGCTTACTGGTGTTAGTTCTGTAATAATGTAATTTATCACTTTGATATCATGATAGATTACAATGAATTATGGCTATATCACATGCATATCTACCAGTAGACAGGGGAGCTCATAATATTATAGTTGGAAAATGTCAGCTTGTGACTTAAGATTGTTATCCTGGTCTGATAAGCAGCACCCTAATATAGGTAACCAAATCTTGAAAGAAAATAACCTGACTGATAACCACTCATAGTAATAATAATAATAAAATATCCAGTTTTACTACTTCTGTCGTGGTGTAGCATCACAATTAATTAAACTATGTACTGTAATCATAATGTAAAGTGTGCATACATTAGAAGTGTGAAATTGCTTACACTACAAAAATAATCCATTATATTTGTACAGTTATAAGAATGACAGCTTTCAGGCAGGAACTCACTATACGTAACTGACCACCTTAACATACCTGTGAGTAATGCCAAGTTTTATTTTTTGTTTTTCGGAATTTATAGTGCATATTAGAGGGATTTTCACATTTTGATGATAAAATCAGAAAAACTACCTTTAAACTCCGGATAAATAAAAGAGCACTTTTATTTTAACCAACATTTGCTATGTTTATGAGATGTCACCTACTGTTTGAGCTAAAACAGAATTATGGCTTTATTATAGCGTTTTTGGATGAATTTCACATAATGTGTGGTGTTACATCAACCCAAGACATACTGTAATCGTTATTGTTCAAACAGATGCTTTAGTTTTAAAGAGAAGCAACTCATACAGGGTAGTAACATGCTCATCAGGATATTGCTAATTTTACATACATTATCAAGTAAGTTGCATGGGATTGGAAGCTGTAATCTTTAAGGATGAGAATGTGTGAGAAAGAGATTCAAGTAGCAATAACACTGTACGACAGTCATTCTGAACTGAGCTATTATAAATGAACTCTGAGAATGAGGGTGCTGGGTACAGATGAAGAGAAGAAGGGTATTTTTTTTATTAAAACTAAATATGGAGCTCAATCAGTTTAAATGGCATTGTAAATACAATGTAACCATGTTATTACACAAACTCTGAATGTACTATGTATGTCTTCACAAAATTTGGCAAGCTTGTAAATATTACAAGTACATTTTACATTTTAAATAATTTTAACAAGATGTTTTTGCTAAAGATATGTATGAATTTAAGAAGCCTTTACTGAATGAAAGGTGATATTCATACTAAGAATGAAAATAGTTCTATTTGTCTTACAGTGTTTATATTTCATAACTTCAAGAACTTTCTAAATTAATATACAAAATTTGTTAGGTAAAATAAATTTTAACTCTTATTCACTCTGCCCTAACACAGACTGCAACAGAATTATGCAGAGTGAATAAAAAAAAAGGTTGAAAAATATGAAATGCAATCTGTTACTTTTTATTTCTAGAATAACTGCAGATTATAACAAACAATTGCATTTTTTTATCTTGATAACTTAGATCTCATAACATTTTCATAACTGCCTTCATTTGATTTTGTTTTATTGCTCTTATATTTAACTAGTATAACAAAACAATCTCCCAGAAAGAACGTGGTGTAACCACAGTAGAGTTGCATCACGAGACAGTAGTCCCCATGTGTTCCTCCAAAAGATCACGTTTTTTTTCATATTTTCCACTTTGTTTGTCATATTTAACCTAATAAATTTGTAATCATCACATTTTAGTTACTTTTGTTAAAAATATATATAACAATAAATAAAAAATGTAATAAAACCAAGAAATTTAGCACTTATTTCAGACTTGAATTTTTTTCATTCAGGTTTGCAGTTTAGTGCTTTTATTTTATCTCACTATGTTGGTTGTCCTAAATAGTTCATAGCTTTCAAATATGCATCTTTAATGCAAAAAAAATCAGATATTCTAATAAAATGTCCCAAAATTATTATATTTATTTTACTTTCTAACTAAACTATAAGCCCCTCAGTAGTAAATCTGAAGACTTGTAATGCTGAAAACTGGATTTCAATAACCATGGTGGGCACAGCACAGATAGCCCATTGTATAGCTTTTTGTGTAACAACAAACAAACTAATCTATAAATGGATTAAAAGATTCCATTACTGCTTAGAGCAACAGCTTTAGCCTAACACATCACAGTTTTAGTCTATACAAATCAATTGTCTTGCTTACAAAATTTAGAATAAGCTCATTTCATTGGTTAAACATGTCCGTTAGCAATGTCAGAGAGAATTAGACATTTCTTAAAAAGCAGACGATGTGACAGGGGGCACGTCAATGTCATTTGGATAAATAATGATATCTCAGAAAAGGTTGAAATTTTGTATTCTGGTTTGTCATTATCTATAGCATGGGTTTGTAATTGGTTGAACCACAGTACCACTGCATGATGTGACTCGGAAGTGCAGATTGAGAATTTATTTAAATATTTCATTTTCAGATGAAAAATGAAAAACTTAAATAACATAGAAATTTGAATTATGAACTAAATTTTAATGCCAAGTTTATTAACATACATTGATAATAAAGTAATTTAATTAAACTTTGAATGTAACTCTGTAAAAAGGTCATAACGTGAGCACTTTGACCTTCCCATGTCCATAAGGTTAATTGTTCTTCTTTGTTATTCATGCTTTCAAGAATAAATATTTATTTTCAATTTTAAAGAAATGGGTAACTTCTTCAGTTGACTAGACACAGATTGAATTCATTGTTTCATGTCTTTAGTCTAGGATTAGTAAATATTGTAAAATTTGTGAAAGAGAAATCACTAGATGCTCATTTTGGAAGTTCTCAGTTCAGTATCTGCTACTGAACTTGACATTCTTACTTTTTTGGATTGCTTTCATTAGTGGCAAATAATGGTAAAATACAGGTTATATTGAAAGCTGTTTAAAAGCATATTTTACATTTTTAACAATCAAAATTTACAAAAGTGTGCACTGAACTTTTCACATTCATACTATTAAGAAAAAGAATAGTTGCACTATTTTCTTAGTTGCTGAACAAAGATTGGAATACTAAAAGTTTGAAATTTTCTGGAAACTTCATGTAGCTCTGGAATCAAAATTTAGCATATCCCTTTAAATGTCAAAAAATATATCACAATTAATTGTTTGCATATTTTGGATCCTTAATCCCTTTACTTTCAGAGTTTTCCTTAGTTCAGACTAATTCTTCACATCCCATCAAAGTCTGGATCCATATTCGGGAGCATTCAGTCATGTTTGTAGAAGCTATCAGGAACATAAGACATTTCTTTTGTATTTCTTTACTTTTATAATATGCAAGTTAGCCACAGTGGTAATGTTACACAGCCAGAATATGTCTTTGTACCTATTTCAATATATGTTCCTGCAAAGAGCATAGTATGAAGATGTTTTTTCCTGATAAAAAGGCCAAGTAACACTATGTAAAGGGTATATGCTACCTTAATTTTACTGATTTTCAAACACATTGTAATGAAGTTGCAAATAATTTTCCTTTATATATACGTATGTATTTGAAAACAGAATGAATTATTAAAATAGTTGTGTTAGGGTACATGATGGAGTTATATATGTAGTTACTTTATTTACTGTATCTTCAAACATTTGTAAGTTTTCATAAATTGTTTAATTCATTACAGTTAAGTATATAATTTTTGTGTAATATTGCATATAAGACAAAAATGTAAAGTGTGTTGTGAATGATGTTTATAGCTTAATTTTTATTTTGTATTATGCAGTTCTGACCCTTCAAGAACTCTGTTGCCGGACAATTGTGACTCGAACAACAGTTTATAGCATCGAACAACTTCCTCTGCCACAGGCTCTCAAGTCTTGTTTGAAATCTTACTCTATGACATCATATAAGACAAGAGCCCAACATTCAGCATTACAAAAGGAAAAAATTGCCAGAAAAAGCCACCAGCAATGTGACCATATAAACCTACAGTGTCGAAAAAGCTGTACAGTTTCTTAGTTTGTATAGTCACGTGTATTAAAAGTTAATCACTTGAACATCAAGTAATAATAGACATGTGCAGTTTTTAATAGTCTTTTTATCCACATGTGTATAAAAGTATATGTATACACATGTGCATTAGGAGTAACTGTTTGGATAACCACTGGATATAAAAATATATAAAGTTTATTAACACTTATACTGGTGTACGACATAGATTTGACCACTTCAACAACATTCAGTTTTTAAACAATGTGCATGTATCCTTCAGAGGTGTCAACCTATGAACATTTGGTGGTTAGACAACACTAAAATTATGTAACCGTCTGTTCACCTGTTGAAAACCTTGTGACTCGACAATATCTGCAGTTTCTTGGCTATATGATTCACTTTTGTACATGTATGAAATGCTTACTATGGGCGTATGCAATGAATAGATTTCATGTACATATTCTTATAGTCTGTATGGCCTTGTATTCAAACTTGACATCTTGAGCACACAAAAATTGTATTTTTTTTAACAATGTAATTACATACTTGTGTATCAAATGCTTAAGAATATAACATCCTGTGTTGGAATGTATAGTGTAACACAAGTAACAACAATTGATATATTTGAACAGCTTGTGGTTGAAAATATGGAATGGTCTGTAACTTCTTTTTTTTTATAAATCCAGATCTTTTCAGGCTTAAGGTAAAAGTTACAAAAAACGTTTGTTGTGTACAATTTGCTTTTATGTTAATAACATGTCATATACTTCTTAAAAATTCTGCATTAAAGATATTTCAGTAGGGTCAGCAAACATTGTGTTGTTGACTATTATATTACTGTAATGTATTAACTCAACCTTTTTTGTAAAATTTTGTTCAAATCCATGGAGGCTTCAGACAAATGTTAACACTGTTTAACGCTCAGTAAAAGAGTGAAACAGATCTTACTAACTTTTTTTATTATTATTGTGCATATAAAATGTGATAGTATCTATCACAGATCACAGTTTGTAGTACTTCAAATGCAAGTAGAAGATGGTATTTTCACAACACTTAGCTGTGGGCAGTATCTTTGTAAAAATGGGGAATTGGGAAGGAGAGGTGACTTTAAATGATGGTTATGCTTATTTCTTATTGTACTTGAACTGGGATAGTTGATGGCTATCATATTTTGGTTAAGAGTTTTGTAAGTGTGTGACTTAAATTAGATGATTGATTAAATATTTAATGTTGCTAGGTGTATCTGTCTATGCCTATCAGTCAATTAATTACTATGATAATCATCAACACCTCCACTGAACTGCCTATTAATTCCAAACACTCGTTACTTGTATACTGACAACAGTAATGAATGGTTTGCGTGTTCCAGCTCTTGCTGTAATCTTCCATATTGGTTTATTATAACTGTTTCAACTTCTCTACTTTATGATGTGTACAGTGTTAATTGTGGAGACTACTGAATCAAATAAAAAGTGTACTTTTGTTTTCCAGGATTGAATTTTGTAAAAGATATTGATTTAAAATGTGTGTATGTACATGTATTTTTGATGTAATTTATAAAGTGTGAACTAATTTCTTGAAATTATTTATATGTGTCTCAAAAATTTGAAAATAAATTAATGTTTTGAATTGTATGTATTGAAGGGGCCAGTTTAGTTGCTTGATAATTTAATAGACAAGTATCAGTATACAAACCTAATGATGGTCTTGTTCTTACAGATTTTTAGATTATCAGGCCCTGTTCTGTTTTCAGTAAGGTAATTTTAGCAGGTCATAAGAAACAAGAAGTAGAAAGAACTTTTCAGTTTATTGAAATTCAAACAGCTACTAGGTGTTACTTGGAATTTGTTTAGTTATCTAATGGTCATGTAGGTCACTGAAGTTTAGAACCAGTGGCCTGAAAACAATTGACATGATAAAATGGAAAAACAAAACCTACTCTCCATTGTTTATAATTTGTACATGTAATAGTTAAATACATGTTCAGAACATTAATTATGTTGTTAATTAAAACTTGTTCCATTTTGTTTAAGATGTGTAACCCTTAAAGTCCAATTGTGACAGTCACTGCAATTAAAATCTTGCTTATCAGATTTATCAAATGTATCTTCATGGGTAGAACTCTGTTTCAGTTTTTTGTCACGTGCTGAGCATGCCTGAGAAACACAATACAGAAGCCATATGGATGTATACAAACCTAAGCACAGACAGTATGATCCAACAACTAAAGGATTTGTTGCTACGATGTACGGAATTGACAGTTAGAAGCTGAAGCATTTGATTTTTGCTGCAGTCTGTAAGTTTACCAAATATCGCGTGAATATTTTATCACACTGTCTTTGGTAACACTTCTGAAAAAAGAAATCAACTTCTGAAGCATTTTGCTTCTCAACAGACTGTATGCCTCAGGTAATTTCAATCAATATCTAAAATATGATTGTGCAGACATTTGCCTGTAAAGCCTTCATATTTGGTGTTATTAAATTACATTGTTTCATTTGGCATGAGTACACAATAAGTTGATCAATCATGATGTCATTCAACTATCATTCCATGATTTGTGGTAGGGTGCAAGACATTATTTCATTGGCTAATTAACAGAACTTGTACCAAAATATGTCGCAACTCATAGACAGTAACGTGAATTTGCATGCAATGATCCTGAAATTGGTATAAGTACATGTGTACAATAAACAGTTTGTAGCTTCTGTTTTTTTGTTAAACAAATCACATTTTCTGATAATAAACATAAGGTACTTAATATCAGAATGCTCTTTGTGATTTATGTATACTCTTAAGATCAACAACATGTGCGTTATTTGGTTACGAGAATTTGCTTAACTCTTAATTTGTAAGGTTTCAAAATAGTCCCAAAATGAACTAATTTTTGTATTAACCAAAAATTTCTCTGTGAAAAATGTACAAATACTATGACAATGGTCAACAAATTATATTGGGGAACTAGAACATCCAGATAGTGTGGTCTATACAAAATATTGTATTTTTTGTAAATACTATTGTTCCAGTATTTTTTTTTAGTCTAAATCTGTATTTAATAATTTCTAGCCCTTACATTTATTCTTCTCAAATTAGACTTACTATTATATATAAAACAACCTCATTCAAAGTGTTATAAAATCAGTTTAATATTTATCACATCTAGTGATAAACAACGTACAGAAGACTGGAGTTCGTTGAATATGATTTTCACGTTAAAATAGCTGCAAAGTAAAAAATGATCTTGAAATGAAAAAAAAAAAATGCTTAAGTGGGATAAGGTAAGTAAAAATAAAACATAAGTGTGAATATACATAAGTAGCCGAGTTATCTATCATAAATCAAATGAATTATTTTTTTAATATTCTATGTGAAGGAATGTTTGGAACATAGGTAAGCCATTGTCACTAAACAAAGAGTTCTTTTTGTGGATGAAAGGTTTTAGAATAAGTGGACAGGAGAAGAAACAATTATGGCAAACGCAAATCTTTATTTAATCCTTTCTGCCACATCTCTCAAGGGTTAACTACAACTGACACTAATATACCGGGCCAGGTGGTTAGGGCGCTCGACTCGCAATCTGAGGGTCGCGGGTTCGAATACTTCTCTCACCAAACATGCTCGCCCTTTCAGCCGTGGGGGCGTTATAATGTGACGGTCAATCCCACTATTCGTTGGTAAAAGCGTTGGCGGTGGGTGGTGATGACTAGCTGCCTTCCCTCTAGTCTTACACTGCTAAATTAGGGACGGCTAGCGCAGATAGCCCTCGTGTAGCTTTGCCCGAAATTCAAAAACTAATATACCAAATACACAGATTTTAAAGAAAAATGACTTGAATAAATTAAACTGAAAGTACTATGAAGGATATTGTATTAAACTAAATAAAACTGAAAGTGGCGTACTTACTGGTTGGTGAATCAAGAGATATAAAACCTCTTAAGTCGGATCTTTTCAAACAAGAACCACAGACAAAGCGAGATATTCTCAAGAAGTGATAAACGTCTAAAACACAGTCAATAACAATTGGTAGAAATGTCTAGAGAAAAAAAAAAGTTTCTTACCACACACCTGTGACAATTGAGAAATAGTCTCGCACTAAGAGAGAATGCTGACCACATACAATTGCCCAGATAGTGATTTAAGACCATCCTAATTGTCTTCTGCTCTAGAAACTACCATTTATAAAAATACGTTTCACAAGTTTATGATAATACCCTCTCACTTTAACGCACATTTCAAATTCATGAGTTATTTGAGAGTAAGGCGAGGATAGAAAAAAACGTTTTTGGCATTAGTACATTTATCAAAATACACTATGTATATATTCAACATATAGTCGGATCTATCTCAGTTGAGATCTAGAAACTCGCCCAAGAGGTGATAATATTCCAAAATGTAGGGAATAACAATCGCGAGAAATTTCTGGAAAATTTGTCACAATTATTGATAGGTTATAACTTCTGTAATTGAGTGACTCTCACAAATTTCCTTTTGGTTGTTTCATCATAAAACGTGTTGGTAGCTTAGAAAGGACAGATACCAACGTTTTTAGCATTTACATCCTACCGTTTTCATCTTTTGACGCACAAATTCACCTGTATCAACCAATGCAGATTTTAACCACTCTACATATTCCTGAAGACACTGTGGCATATCCACAAAGAACTGGGTTCGATATCCATACATCAGTAAGTTCAGCAAACAATTAATTAGCCAATGGTATGTTGCATTGGGCATCATTATGATAAGTTCTGAATGTCCATCCAAATCAGTATTCACAAGCATATACTTAATGGTCTGAATAATTTATTTCGACAAATCACCAGACTGAGATTGGTATAGAAAAATGTGTGCCTTCGCTACACCTTATGCAAATCTGCAAACAACTAGCTGTTAATTTCTGTGGATCTCTTTGGGTGTTCTGAATCAGATTATTAACGATTAGCTAATTTATAATTGTTGGCCTGCACTAAAATGTCAGTGAGTGAGTGAGTGAGCCAATTGATGAAGTAATTAATTGCAAGCACGATTTGTGCTTTCACTAATCTGTGAAGATTATGTTTCGCTTTGCTGTATGCACCAGCTTACTTAGAGTCCTTTAGCTGTTGCTCCCAAAGCTCTTGATTTATGATATGTAGAGTCCATCTGCTTTTGAAATAATCACTCTCAGCATGGTCCATTATCACCTTTGCAACAGCTACACAGGTTCTAAGATCTTGACATTAAATAAACGGACTAGCTTTCACAGCCTGACGAGATGAGCTAACTGCACATGCTGTTGCCTCAAATGATGTTTTTTGGTGACTATTGCTTAATTATACCTTCGGAATTTTTGAAATTCATAAAGTATATCAGAGATCCATGGTATACAAGAATAGGGAAAATCCAACAATGAATTTAGTGGCAGTATGGTTTGACAAGTACTAAAAATGCAAGCAGTTCCTCTTTGTTGTGCAATTACATTATTCAGGAGCAGCCCACGTATAACTGGAATATGCAGTAATATACTCCACACTTTTATGCAACTGTGACAACACTGCATCAATTCCACTATGACTGGCATCAGCATCAAGAATGAATAGACAGTCTTACCTATCATAAACCAATACTAGACCCTCAACTAAAGCACATTCATTGGTTGAAATGCATATCAGCCTCAGTAAGGTTTGACATTTTGTATAAGTTAGCTATAAAGCATCTATAATATGTTCAAACCTATTAAGTTGCAGACTTCTCTTTTAGTCATAAACCGGGTTCAATCCTTAACTTCTGTTATCTTTGCAGGATCAGAATACACTTGGTCGCTGCCCGTAATGTGATTGACAAACTCTGCCTTAGTATGCAAAATTGCACACCTCCATGACTTTAATTTCAAGTTTGTCTTATTTAGCTGCTGAAATCCCATTCTCAAGTTTTCCATGGAATACTAGGGCATTTAACTAAGCACTAGAATGTCATCCACAATAGATAATACACCTTTCCTATTGTAAGCACTTTCAGTGTAAGATTTATCAGTCTCTTGAAGGTGGCTGAATCAATTCGCGGGTCGGAAGTTCTGATGCAGAATTCGTGCAGACTTTTTCTGTTCTTAGGTTTGCCGTCATCTGTCAGATCAACTGGACAGGATACCTTACCTTACAGTATCCAAACATTTATTTGTTAATGATAAAAAGGTGCAACATTTTGTGTGAATGTGTTTTCAGCCTGGAGGCCACATAGAAACATATAATCCCTTCCTTCTTCATTACACTCACTACTCTCTAAAGGTTGTATTACTTTGAACTTCATCTTTTGCTCTATTCCATCTACATCTCATATTTCCCACAGGTAATACTGGCTGAAACTTCTGCATAAAGCCTATTCCTAAGATACCAATACTTGATATTACATCAGAGTCAATGTCTTTCACTCTGGAAAAAAAGAACAAAATGAAATTATGTCATTACATTCTCATCTAGTATATCTCCTTTTTCTAAACAAATTTAGTATTGACTGACTAAAGTGGTGACTTCAATTTATGCACTTGATACAGAGCAATGTCCAACAAAGCTCTGGCAACAGCAATGTACGTTAAGAACATAATTTAACATTCATCTGTCTTGATAGATTCATATTAAGTCGTGTCTAGTTCAGAGTCATCT